GGCTGTGCGCCGACAGCAGCCTCTGCCGCCCTCGGAGGTGGGAGTTTGCGGAGCAGGTTGTCCCCAGGTGCCAGAGGTAGCCTTGCTGTGTCAGTAATGTTACTAGAAATAGGGAAGACTTTCTTTGCCTTGAAAGTAGGCTTGATAACGGGCATTAGCCAAGAAGCAGCTTTTCTGAAAATGTAGTGGTAGGAAATAATAATTTCATCACCTAGATGTAGAGGAGGTCTTCAACATACTCTACTCTGGACCACGGAATGAAAAGGTTTGTAAAAAAGCTGTAGATACTAGGGGACTATGTGAATTTGGTTTAAAACTTATAACTTTATGATAGTTTTAAATGCTGTTAAACTGCTAATTGTACTTTTACAACAGATTAATTACATTTGTCAAGGGGAAGACAAATGTTGTTACAAGTCTTGGTGTTTTTCCCTTAATACATTCCTCCATTAGATCAGTTTTAAGCACCTGCACATTTAAGAACAAGTACTAGAACTTAGACTAGAGATAGAGCATCTATACTTCAGGTTATCCTTGCTCATTAGACTTATTAATTTTCCTAGCAGTCACAGAACTTAGGAGTGTCTAAAGCATACTACCAAATCTTTTCACTTCAAGCATGTTTTTCAACTGGGCCGCTTTGAAACTCAGGGTTTGTTCCACACTTAAAATTTTGGATTTTTTGTTCCTGTCGTATGTGAGTTCTACAGAATGTATAAATTTCATCTTTTATTTCTGTATTCTAAAATTTGTTGCACAAATTTACTTTGGCTTACTGATCATGCATTAAGAAAGCATGCAAGTGAATATTTGCATCAAAGTACATTAAACAATATTTTCAAAAGTGTCAGTACATCGGAGGTGATTGTATATGTTCCTCTCCATGTGCATAGCATAGTGAGGCCCTCTGTTTTTATTCTTTCAGGTTTACGATAACTCTTCAGATGCAATAATAATGAAAATAAGTAGGGTGTTATAATTTATTCTCAGTGGATGATTTTAGGCTGATATTTTCAATATGTTAGTCAGGTACTGCTAGGTGCTGTCACTGGCTTCTTGGTCGCATGAAGTATTTGATGATACACTTTAGTGTTGTGTATGTCATTGGGGAGGGGGAGAGTAAAATGAAAACTTTACTGGTCTGAAAAGTTGAAAAAAGACTTGAAGAAAATTCAAAATGAGTAAACTTTTAGTTACAATAGAGCTTGTCTGGCAAGGAAAGTAACAACTTTATGTTGCTTTTTGTTATTAATTTTTTTTACAGTGTTAAATAATACTTTTCCAAGCTTCTGAAAAAAAGGGGATAGGGGATTTAATGGGTTAATACTAACTAGGCAGCTATTGAACCTTTGAATAAAAGTTTTATTATGGAAGCCTTGGCATCAAGTACCATGTAATGTGACTCTTATTGCTAACATCTATATGACAAACACTTGTTTACCTGTTCTATGATAAGCTTTCTGTGACATTTAGTTGCAAACCAAAAAATTTTGTAAGGCTTAAGACCTATGTAGTAGTAAAAGTTAAATGTTTGCTAATTTATGTTACTACTCCTACATCTTACACACAAAAAAAGAAGTTTATAAAAATGGTCAGAAAATTCCATGCGGTTACTTCGGCTGTTTATAGTTCAAGTACTTGCCAAGTTTAAAGAAACTGACTTTATTTTATGTTAATAAAAAGAGATTTGAGAGTTTTTTTCATGTAAGCTATCAAACAAAATTCAAACTACCACAAATTCCAGCTGCTGTTAAAAATCTAAGAAAATATTTTTTTTAAAAAAAAAAAAGGGTGGGGGGAAGACAACAACAAACCGGTATATTTGCAATATGCCAGTTAAAGCAAGACATCATGACCAAACTGAAACATTTAGCTTTCACCATGGAAAATATGGAAAACCTCAAACTATACTCAAAAAAACCCACATTCCACAATTTACCAGCAAGTAAGGAAAGCATTTAGAGTAGGAGATGATAAGCTGTATAAAGTGAATGTAGAAGGCATAGCTGGATTACACTGAGGACTTTGTTTAAGGAAGTGTCATGTAAGGAAAAGCATAAGTGTGTCTTTCTCTCAGAGAAGAGCTAGCTATTTGGCAGTTATTAAGAAATTAAACCCAGGCCTGGTTCCCTTCCCCCTGTTGCGAAAAGCATGTAAACTCCGTTTCTGTTGCACAAGTGACTTCACAGGACAATAAACTTGGGACTGTTCAATTCGATCCAAGGTATGCTGCAGCAAAACTCTAGTGCATCTATTTAGGTTGGTGTCAGATAATAAAGCTATGCTGGCAACCTTATTTTAACTTTCCTGTTTGTGAAATCCTACCATTGATCCGTGTGTAAAGGTAACAGGGGTATTGTGAAGGATCAGTAACGAAAGGCAATCACGTGGGATTATGTTGTGCAAACTAAAAAATTTAGTCTTTAAAAATCAATTAGTTGAAGGAATCATTTCAAGATAATTTGAGTTCAAGTGATTGATTTGATAAGTGTTGCAAACAAAACCTAAATCAATAGCTGTTGATCTCTCTTCTGGACTTAAAAAACAAGCATTAGAGAAATGCTTGGTAGATGTGTTGTTGTGATAAATAGATACAAGCATATGTTCACATCTTTGTGAGGAGTTTTAAAACTAATGTTTTAAAATCTTGTTTTTAATATGTAACAAATCCTTGTTTTGCAACATTTGTGCTTATCTTAGCTACATAGTTAAAGACAGAATGGAATGCCTAATAGGAGGACCTTCCCCTCTCTAGATGTCTATTTGAATACTCTGTGTCATAGATTGTGTCTCTGAAACTTGCATCTTAATATTTGTAGGCATAGACATGAAGAGGAATACTAACAGTAAGTTAAGGAGATTCTTGAGGGCAACATTTTTATTTGATGACTTTTCAACAAAATAAGCAAATTGAGCTGAATCACCACACAGTGAAGTGAATGCTGTGGCTAATGTGAGCACGGGGACTGTTAAGCCTAGTTGAAGTAGAGGCTTATGATAGCCCAGTTCAGATGTTTTACTCCTCATTATGGGGTAGGGTCTAAAATTCTGAAATTTGTTAAGTGTTGTGAATTGAAAACTATGTGCTTATAGAAATACCATTCAGCCAATGTTGAGTAGTGATTTGGGTTATAAAATAAAAAAAAAAATGCTCCCCATACACAGAGACCTCTAGGAGAGAAGAACTGTAAGGAATTTGTACTTACAGTACAATTGGTTTTCTAATGGCTAGTGCAACTGTTAAGGAAGTTCTAGGTTCTGTTCCCAGCTTTGCCTTTCACTGTCTGCAAGACTTTTCTTAGGTTTAGTTTCCCTTTGCTAGCTTTACTTGTTAATTTGTAAATGCTTTATGAGTGTTCAGCTCTCACTGCAGGCTGAGAGTGAAGACAGTGAAATGAAATGTTAGTTAGGATTTTAAATGCCATCAGCACTTAAATAGTACTAATAGGCTTTTCAATGAATATCTAGGTAACAGAAGGAGTGCAGATACAGTGTTTAGCATTTTGTTATTTTTAACTCTGGCAGCACAATACAAGATGTAACTCGGAAGTACATAGTTTAGATGTAGTATCCTAAGTAATAGGAGAAGTTGCTTGCCTTTCATACAAGAAATTGGAAGGATTTTGCTTGGACTGAAAGGACGTCTGATCAATGATTTTTAAAATTGGAGCTACTTAGACTTCAGAGGAGTAAGGCTTTCTACACTTTAACCCAACAAAGTGTATTAAAAGGAAGCTTTGTGTAGTCATGAGTAATGTGGTCAATTGAATATATACTTATCAGACGCATCTGCTTTCACAGAATTCTGTTTAACAGCAATCATTAGCTAAAATCATGGCAACTGCCACCAGTGAGGTGCACCATCCTGTAGATCCTGGAATTTCAAAGCTGCAGTTTGCTCCCTTCAGTAGTGCCTTGGATGCAGGATTCTGGCACGAACTAACACAGAAGAAACTCAATGAGTACCGATTGGATGAGACCCCCAAAGTTATCAAAGGATACTACTACAACGGTAGGTAGAAACCAAACGTCTTGCTTAGTAGTTTGGGTTTCTCCTGTCATTCCTCTAAGTATTTGTGTAACATATTTTAGGTATTTTCCTGAAACATTAGAAAACACAGCTGAGTGAGCTGTGAATTCTGGTATGTCTGTGGGTAACTTATAACTTATGTTAACAAAAAGAGGGAAATTAATCTATGTATTTCAGTTTAAAAGAAGCATATTGCTGCTTTTTGTCCAGGTGATCCTTTGGGTTTGCCAGCTCGCTTGACATTGGAGTTTAGTGCCTTTGATATGTAAGTACGTACTGTGGTTTACCTTGATTCGTATGTGAAGACACTTTCCTTGTATAACAGCAACACTTTCATATATAATATTACTTGGAAAAATTCTACATGAAAATAAATACACATTTTCATGAAATTTGTAACAGTGGAGAGACTGCTTTGAGTTGCAAACGTTAACTTCATGTGTCTGAAGTAATATATTCATCTGAAGGGCCAAGTTTAAAATATGCTGGTAAGTCTCAAATTCACTCACTGTTTGTATATATGTTTATATAAAATACCATTTTTTTTCCATTTCTTCAGCCTCTCTGAGTAAGGGAGGATATTTCAGTCATCTGACTTCTTGTCAAATTTTTCCTTAGATTTTTATTTACTGAGGATTCATCATTACAGTTAGGATCTCAAAATAGATTTTACAATCACTAGTTGTTACATTGTAGTATCTTCCAAAGTATTTGACTTTTATGACTGGGATTTTGTACTTTTGCCTTTACCCCCAAAGTGAAAGGTAAACCAAAGTTTCTCAGTGTACACAGCAAAAATGAGATGAGAGGGGAAACATTTTTTCCACATGGTTTTCATTTCCAAAAAGTGCTTCAGTTGGTATAACTAACATAGGAACAGATGTCTTCGTAGTTAGTGTCTTGTTTGTTTTAAATTGGTGGATTATAAAGTTGTACATCATAGATGTGACTTTCTCTGCCTTGCTTAATGATGTTAGGAGCCTAGTGAGGCTTTGTGCATGTTGAGAGAATTCCTTAGGAGATATTATTCCATTAATTCTTACGTAAGGACTTTTAGGTACAATACTGAAAGCATATGCAGCAAAGTGCAATTGGAAGAAGTCTGTGACGTTAGGAACAGGAATTTCAGATCAGGAAAAATGGATGATACCATGGTATTTGAGCTCTCAAATGTTATGACAAAAATAAAACTATGAAAGATCCATTTATGTAGTGTTTAATTATTCCTTCTAAAGTAGTAATTTTCTGTACTTCTGTTTCTGTACTTTAGCTAGTGTCAGTTTAGATGATCATGAAGAGTTCCCTTTTAGCTTTAAAATTTTTTGGAAACTACATCGTGTGTATTTATTATGTAACTTAAACATTTGCTGTATTTGAGCTTTAGCAGCGATCAGAAGTGTATCAGTTTGGGAGAACAGTGTTAAAGGAGTCAATGAAATCAATCAGATCTATAACTTAAGGGAATATTTACGTGCAAAAAGGGGGAAAAATATATACTGCGTTTGCAAACAGCAACTTCTCCAGCTGATGATGTTAAAAACTATAAAAACTATTCAATCGTTTGTCTGATTTGGGATTCCTTTGGGATGTTTTTTAAACATAAAATTTTAACTGAATAACTTTTCATGTGATTAAAATACTGACATCTAAAGTTCAGTCTTAATGATTTTTTTCTTAGTGAAAATCACATTTGTCATGGATAGTTTATATTTGAACAGAATTTTTTAAATCTTCAATCAGTGATTTAATGCCACCTAGCTTAGAGATAATACAGATGCCCGGTTTTGAAATCATAATGTAGATGTGTATTTGCACAGGTTATTATTCCGATCCATGTTCAATAAAGCATTAGGTTCATAAAAATGTTTTCATTAGAACTGTTGTTAACTTTTGTTGCTGTGCCTCATCATTTGAAATTTCAGGGCATGCTTACACCATACGATAGCTGCTACTACTACCACTGATCATGTTAAAGGCATTAGTATCCAATACGCAGCAGTTTCTTTCTTTTATTCAGGAATGCTTCAATACCGGCACGTTGCTGTCCTGCTTTTGGAACACTGTATAATACCAACACTTTTGAGACTTTCAAATCCTGTGATAAGAAATCACTTCTGGAAAAAGAAGCAAATGAGGTAAAATCAAAAATTAAATCAACTGGTAGAAAGGATTTGGAAATAACCGGTGAAGTTCTTTATAGTCTCTGCCCCAAATATTGGAGATACTGTCCATACTCACCTATATAGTAGCCTCAGGATTTAACTTATTGTGGAAGGAATAATTTGATGTTTGCCTTTTACTGTTATTTACAAGAGAGTAAAAAGTAGCAAATTATACTTGGAGGACTTCATTCAGTGTTCTACCAGGCCACATTTTAAGCTTTACAGTGCTATTGCAGCTGCCAGTGACTTGAATTCTGTAGAGCACATTTTAAAAATTTGTCTTGACACCCAGAAACCAGCAAGTGCCTGGTTTAAACTTTAGATTACTGCAATAGATCTGTGTGACAAAGTGGTGGGGAAGCTCCAGAACGGCAAGAAGACGGCGAAAAGGGGGACTGTCAAAGGAAGGGGCTAGTCCGCTTGCACTGTAACTCACTAAATCAAATGACATGACTTGGTGAGAAGTGAAAGTCAAACTAAGGCAAGCTTTTACTTTTTGAGACACTTCTCTTTGACCAGTCCTTGATTCCTTTAATTGGATTGTCTGCCTGCTGGCCTTAAGTAGCAAAGTTTTCATGCATATCTTCACCCAAGGCTATAAATGTTTTGTGTTCCTGTGGCTAGTACTTCCCTGCCAGTGGTGGGTACGATGCAATATCTATCTATAGGGAAACTAGGAAGGTCAGAATGCTTGATTCGTTCTTGTGTTGGGTTTTTTTTTGTTTGTTTGATGGTTTATCTTTTTAAGACAAAGGTGAAACAGGTCTGCCTTATACCAGTATTATAGCTTCTTGTCTCACCGACATGCAGTGTACTGCCTTCTTCCAAGTCTCCATTTTTTTAGTCAAATTTCCTAGTAGCTTTTTCACATATCTAGTATCTAGAGATCCCATGAATGAAAAAGATGAGAGTACAGTAAAAGACTATATTAATATCACAGTGTATTCTATATTGTGCTAGTGTTAATAGTTCATAAACATGAGGGACTATTCCTGATGAAGTTTGTTTTGTTTCGTTTGATGCTCCATGCTTGGTCTGTGGACTAATGCTCCTCTTGTTCCCCAGCTTCCATAATTTTTTGTGTTAGAGAGTGCATGTCTGTGCCTTGCCTTTAGAATCCTTTTAGCATAGATAATAGTGTGGATGAGATCAGTTAGGGAGATCACAGTGTATTACTGGGAATGCTAATTTCAGTATTCTAAAGGTAGCTGGAAGAATTAAAGATTTCTGCAGCTGTTCTTATGCTACCTTGGTGTTTTGTTTCTCTGCCCTTTCTCTTCCTTCTTGTCCCCACGATCACTGACAGATATGGGAATCAATAAAATCTGGAGCTGCTCTTGAAAACCCTATGCTCTTGAACAGGTTCCTCCTGCTGACATTCGCAGTGAGTAATGATAACATGTCTCACACTTAGAGCATTGTAGGGGGGATGATGAAGTAGTTTCTTTTTAGGAGAAATGCTGTATTAATATTAGCATGTTAAAGTTATCAGGATCATTCTCAGACATCTTAAAATGTCTGAAAACATTTTAAAAAAACCTAATAAGCCATTCTCATATACAGATATGAAATATTTTAGGATGTATTCTTTAAAAAAATGCTAGTGCCATCTCATATTCTTTTCTACAAATGTATAAGATTATCTGACAGCCTTATAGATATTAGTAAAAATAGAGCAACTATTTTGTGTTTAACAAATTGAAAATTTTAATAAAGAATGCTCCAACTAAGAAAAACTGAAGTATTGTACACACTTTGTCTGTTTAAATCTTAAATAAGAACATAAACCAAGAAGGGAAGTCTTCTAGTATTTTTTATTATTTTTTAAAATCATAACACAGTGCCTTGTGAGGTAAAGAGAGCTATGGTTAGTGTCATCAACCATCCATTATGATTAGTATTCCAAAACATAATTTACTGGATTTATGTCTGTATTATCTAAGTTTACAATTTTATTTTATTTTTTCTAGGATTTAAAAAAGTATCATTTCTATTACTGGTTTTGCTACCCTGCTCTCTGCTTCCCTGATGGAATACATATAATTCAGAAACCAGTGTGTCTTGGTGACAGATTCTCATTAAATCAGGTATTCAAAATACTAAATGTTATGAAGTCTGTAGCACTAAGGAGTTTTGTGGGCGGTAAAACTTAGTATTTTTTTGTTGGCACATACTGAATTAACTTAACAATCTAATTTCTTTTAAAATCTTCGCTTTTCTTATTTCCATGTGGGTTTTTTGTTTACCTCTTTTTTCGTTATTGTATAAAACCTCTCAGCTTTACATCACTTCTGCTTTATTCATTTAGATGCAGAAGTGGCAAACAATTCTTGAAGAGGAGGTTATGTTCATTTTAATTTTTATATACAGCTCATTGAATATATAGCTATCTTTCTGAAACTCATTGTATTTTTAAGAAACTTTTTTAAAGGGACATCCCCTGGGAGAGTTAAGTCATTAGCAGTTACAAAATTGTTAATAAAATGCATGATTGGACAAGAAAAAAGAAGTGGATAGGGAAGATTTTTTTATACAAGAAAAGTTAACAATTTTTTTGTAGTTTCTTTCATATTACAATGCAAAAGGACAAAAAAAATTGAACTTGCCCATATGTGCCATTTTGCTTTGACAGAAGTTATTGGTAAACCTTGAATGGCTTTTTAATGGGATAATAATCAATGAGAAACAGTTTGGGTTTTTTCAGTGAAAAATGCTTGGTTCCTTTCTTCTCAGAAGACTCTCGTTAGTTCTGTAGTAATAAATAGTGTAAAAATACCTGTAATGATTCAAAGACAGAGTTTCAACAAAACTCAGAAAATACGTGTAACAAAATAAATTGAATGGGACTCTGTTCTTTTGCTAATAATAGAGGGACACATTTACTTTCGTAGAAAATGAGATTTTTATCTTCTTTTAATTCCTATTGGTAGATCAGTTTGCAGCAATGATAATAATGTTCCTGTTTAAATTTGCATTTACAAATGCTGTTTTAGCAACTGAATTTTTGTTCTTGGTTATTGTGGTCATAATGAGTTTTAAAACTTCTGAATAGGCTGTATTCTAAGATTGAGTCGAGCTAGCCTTCCCAGATGCTAGAACACTTTCTGTGGTTCTGTATAAGATTGTTGAAACTGTTGATTATAGTTGTCTTTTTGCTTTTAGATGCAAGCACTTCAGAAAGCTTATGATGAACTTTGCCAGAAGGAGGGAGTTACAGCTTTGCCTTATTTTTTCATTAAGTATCATGACAATTCTGTTGTGATATCTCTACTGAAAAAGTGGGATGGTTTCTTCCAAGACCAAGAGGGAAAGGTAATGAGAATTTTATGTCTTTTTATAACCTACAAATGTTTAATTTACAGATGATCTGAAAAATGTCTGTAATACTGAGCTGGGCCCAATGGTTGGCCAATGAATAGACTGGGTAAATAGCTGAAGACCAGCAGCTTGAACTGATTTTTGTGTCGAATTAAGTGTCTCTAGTTCTTACACAAAAGCCCAGTTACATCAGATTAGTGGTCAGCTGGAAAACAGAGTTCTTCAAGCTCTATCTCCCTCATTATCAAAGCAGAAACAATGTAAATTTGAGTTGCATAATGATTAAAATTTTCCAACCACTTTACCTACAATGATACAATAATGCAAAACACTACTTTTATTGTTTGTGTACTAAAAATTGGTACTGATATATTTGTTGGTTTTGGTAACAGTAATCAGGGAATACTATATGGGAGTTTTCGACTTTAAGTTTTAATTTTTCAGTGTATGTTTTGAAACATGTACATATTATAACATGAGAACTTTGGATAAAAATTTCTGGGAATCTGTGTATGAAGAATGTTCAAGGTAATGCTTTGTAATTTTGGAAGACAAAGGTTGTGCACCAGAAGAACCTGGGATATTTTTTTCTATTAAATGCAGAGATCATGCATGTCCTTCGAGTGTAAAGTGAATACTGTCCATTGCTTTCAGGTAGGGAAGAGTTATGATGCTACACAAAGCAGCTGTCATCACAGCAAGTGTTGACTGGCTTGGTTGGCTTGTGTTTATGTACATTGAATTCTGTTTTGGATCATGTTGCTCAGCTGCTGAACTTTACTAGGCCTTTACTGTCTTTAGTTTTAGTGAACTTCAAACTTTTTTATTAATCTTGCATATCACTGAAGTGTTAGGAAACAAGTGCTGAGTTACAGTGAAGAGCCAATAATTGCAAAAAAGCTATTTCTTTTTTTGGGGGGAGGTTTTGTCACTCCTTATAAAAGTAATTTAGTTCTGTTTTATACTATGTCAATTATTTTTTTGGTTTTCCATATTTGTTTTTCTGAAGTTAAGGCCTAGGTCCGCAGTTGTTCTTTATAAAATAAGAATGTGAAGGTTGAGATTTTAAATGGTAGTATAACTACGATAATGGGTCACAGGTAAGAGTATACTTCGTTATATAGGAACATTGTCAATATGAGAGAAATCTGTAATCATCTGGAATGTATTTCTTCACTAACACTCACTTTGGAGGTGCGTGCCAAAATTTGAGACCTGTTGGATAAGATTTATTACATCAATACTGTCTGTAGAGTTTGTATTTCAGTGAGCTGACTGAACTTCCTCCCCTGGAAGAAAAATATGGTTTTGCTGTTGCTGAGTTATTTTCCTGCTAGTTTATGAAATGGAATCGGCTTACTAAGGGGTCTTATGTCTGCTTGAGTCAGCAGTAGCAAAGCAGCAGCAGTGTATGGCTGGGAGGAGGGATGGGAAGTGGACCCCTGTTTCTCCTATCTGCATCTGTTAGATTGGCTCATCTGCATTTCAGACTGTTCTAGGGACACCTCACTGATGTACTAGAGTTGAGACCAGACACTCCAAGCCCATCTATAGGCAAAGAAGCAGAAAGGAAGAGCTCTGTATATGTGAGAGTCGCAGGTATCACTAGTGATGGCTGAGTTCAGATTTTCAGCATATCGAAAGGTAGGCAGTGACATCTTTCTGATCTCTGGATGTGTTTTGGTTCTGCGTCGACTGTGAAGTAAGCTCCTAGGTTAGATGTCTCAATTAGGAGCATGGTGTTACATTGGTTGAACATGAGACAAAATGTCCAGTTCCTTTATTTACATGCCATCTTGAATGTTGGCTTTACAAGTGATTTTTATGCTGTTTTTCCTTTGACTTGACATCTTGCTGGCCTGTCCCCTTTCATTTTTTGATCATGCCAAAATCAATACAGAATTTTGTTTTGAGAGCAAGGCTTCAGTTGTTGGACTTCTCCCATAATGGTGTGTTTAAGGAGGGTAACAAAGGTGCACGTACTGTAGTGAAAAGTGAATGTCCACAAAGAGGCTAAACTCGACAAATCTCAAAGCTGTGGTAAACGCTTGACTGAAATCCAGTGTGGCCATGTATTAAGCATCTGTAAATAAGTAAAATGTGTGCGTTGGCCTTCTGTGTCCAGAAGTTTGACATTAAAAATGCCAGATAACTTTTACTGTGAATTGAATATGATAGATGACTTCTCATTTAAAGCAATTTTATTTGCAGGTGACGGTTGGAGTTTATGATCCATGTAATTTATCCCACTATCCAGGATGGCCACTGAGAAATTTCCTGATCCTGGCAGCCCACAAATGGTAACTATTTTATTCTTTCCCACAAGGATTATTGATTGATTGATATCAAATTAGGCATTTTTCTGCCCATGGCACTTTACTCATATCACCCATCTGAGATTTAAATTTTAACCTTGGCATGACTCACCTTCAGCGATTCTGATTTTGCATATTATTCTGTTTTTTACTCCTGTCAGTCACAAGTTCCTATTCCTAAGCCTCACATGCCTATATGTACCTGGAAGTACACGCTTCAGACCCTGCCAATAGCCTCTAGCTTTTTCAAATTTTGTTTAAAGTATTCTATAATTTTGTGTAATTAATTAGTGCCAAGTAATAGTAGACCTAAGGTTTGAAAATCAGATAGTCTTAGGTTTTCTTGTGGTGTACCTTCTTGAATTTTTTTGTTGGGCAGAAGTTGGGAAGACAGGACACAGTTTTATACTCTGATATTTGAAAAAAAGTATCATTTAAAGTATCAAATTTGGGTTGCTGTAACAAAAATGTAATTAAGTTGTATTTAAGTTGTATTCACTTTTACATTTTATTACAAAGCACACAGCAGGGAGAAGAAATGCTCAGTTAGATATGGCGTTTTCTGAGCTGCTAACTGAACTGTAGCATAGGAGGGTGTGTAAGTGCCCAGAGACCTTAACACATTCTGAGATTCAGAGGGTTTTGGGCACTAAATTTCTAATTGTTTGATTTGGGGATTTGAATATTAAGGAGGCAAAATGATACTGTATTGAGAACTAAGAGGTTCTTGCTTGTGCCGTAGCCAAGTACATCACGTCACCTGATGTGTACTCTAGTGCTTCCCTGCTTTTTATTCCTCAGTTTGTCCAGCAGGATTGTGTAAATGACAGAGGACAGACTGACAATGTCCTTTCTTTAGAGCTGTTTCACAACAAACTAGTCATTTTCACATGCTAAGTAATTGTTTTTATTTATACCTGATAAGAACAACTGTGTTCTAGTACTAACAGGAAAAACCTTCTTCAGAATCTGCGAGAGGCTAAACCTGGGTTGTAAAGAAGTCCCCTTTCTATTAAAGACGTTGCATGTCTTTATTATCCTTTTTTTTTTTTTTAAATGACAGGGGTAGCATTCTCCAGTCACTTGAAGTGCTCTGCTTCAGAGATAGGACCATGCAAGGAGTGAGAGACATAACACACAGCATTATCTTTGAAATAAAACTTCCAGGGAGAGCCCTTGGCCCAGGTAATCCATTAAAAAACCTCACTCTTTTCCCGTTTTATTTCTTCCTCCTCTGTCACTGTGAAGGTGGAAAACGTAAGTTAATACTACTAAATCATTGCTTATGCTAAGTTATTTCAAATGGATTTTAAATTATTTGAATTTCTGTTAAATGTCTATAAAGGAAGTGGTTCCTTCTTCAAAAAGGGAGGAAGAGAACATATTATCTTCTAATTTTTTCCTCCTTGAATTTTATTTCTGATTTTAAAAAGTAAATAAGTCCTCCTGATGTCATATGAAATACAAAAATTAGACAATTAGCAATTAGTCTCTTTTTTTCCTTGTTAAATTTGTACACAGTCCCTCAGATGGAAAAATTGTATATGATAGGGAATTTATGTGATGCAAACCTTCTGAATATTTCTAAAATGGTAATGTTTCTTCAGTCCCATAGTGAGGTAGGCAGATGCATTTTAAAGCAATAAACTTGTAACATTAGAACATAATCTCAGGCTTAATTTCTGTGTACAGGACAGTATCACAAAATTTCTCTGCCTCATCAAAGAAGTTCTGAATGCTTTACATTTCATCATTGTGAATTGTTTAATTATTAAATAATCAGGATGTATAATTTTGTACTGAATTTACAGATGTGGTCTAGGGAGCATGAAGAGATAATTGAACTTGGCAAAATTTACTGAGTTCTGAATTGCGAATTTACTGACTTCTGAACATAGCAGTCTGTTTGACATTAAAGATCTGGAGTCTTGATGAGGAATGATGCCATCTCTGTCCTAAGTTTGAAGCAAGCTGACCAGGCAAAAGCAGTACATTGGGCAGCTGAGAGTAAAGCCCTTCTCCAAGAAGCAGTGCTTTCAGTTGATGTAAACCAGCAAAATTTGTATAGCAGCGTGTATTAGGCTGTTAAGATACAGATTGTTTACTTACAGGTTTAGAATTTTTTCTTTTTCTAGCAAGGTTAAATCCAACAAAATTATTTTTTTTTCTATCCTGTGATCTTAAGGCTTTCATTCTTTCTTCCCTTCTTATTTCCTTTGTTATTTTAATATGTCAAATAGATTGTCCAAAAGCTGTTGGATGGGAGAAAAACCAGAAGGGAGGTATGGGTCCAAGGATGGTGAATCTCAGTGAATGCATGGATCCAAAAAGGTTTGTTTATTATCTTTTAAATTTCTCTAGTTTTCTTTACTTGGGCTTAAGGCATAACAAGTTAAAATGTGAAATGCAAGGACTATCTGTGTCTGTTAGGAAAGAATATACAGTAACACATATACTGTATATTTTTGGGGCAGTCCTACTGGAGATAAGGACCTTGATAGAGCAGAGTGTACTGCATTCAGCAGAAATGCTTGGAATTTTTGACTCTAGCTTAAAATTTCAAATGCATTATATTTAAAACCGAATGGAGTGTAGGTCATAATGTTACAGACCTGTGGTTTTCATTTAATTCTATAACATGCAAGTTGTTAAATGTAATGAAAATAAGCATGGAGAAAAGTTCAGCCTTTTGAAATTGTTCGGATGTGAGAGGAAAGACCTCAGGAAACATGACCTTAGTAATTTTTATCATTCTGCACATAATGTATGGGCAATGGATTGAAAACAGCCTATAGTCACACAGCATGTTGGCTTATCTGCTTTCACTGTTTCACTGACTACATGTGTGTTCATGATTTTTAAACAGTGTAGGAGTGTGTTGATCTCATGATTAACATGTTTTACCAATCAGGCTAAGCTGTTTTTGTCTTGCAATTGTGGCAGTTCACAGTGTGTTCATAGACATTAGAGAAGGTTCGTCTGAGGGTCTTAATTCTTTAAGTAAATGTAGCTTGACCTTCTTTACTTGTATGCACTCTCACTTGTATTAATTCCCACAGAGGCTGTTGGTAATATGATAACCTTGGCAATTGCCATCTTAAATCCTTGTTGAACAAACAATGTACTGGATACTGCAAAAGTTAGGTTTATGATGTGTAAAGGAATGAAACTGTCAGGAGTCTGAGAACTGTGATGACCTGACTTGATGAGAGTTTCGACACTCTGTGTGCTCATGAATACAAAAATCTGTCACTAGGTTGAGCATGGATTTCCTAACTCATTTTCCTTCTAGAACTTCCACAAAGAACTGACTATATTCTTTAGGGGAGAAGTGTAATATTTCATGTTAAGGACTGATGTGACTGGGTACAAGAAACCAGTTAATTTAAAGAAGAAATGAAAGTTTATGGACAAATGGTCTGTGCCTTATCACTCAGCTTAACAGGAGTCTTGGCTGAGGCACTATTTTTATTTTCATGCTTGCATCAATTTTGTTACTAAAATTTTAATTTTGGATTGTTACCTTTTTCAGAAGTCCTTAGAGACCTGTTCCAATTCCTAAGGAAGTATCTGGCTTTAGTAGATTTTTACAGCAACTCCAGAGTGGCTAGCTGACATCTTTTCTGGATATCCTAGCTTTTGAAAGAACATTTTCCTAGCAAAACTTTGTGGTTAATAACCATCTTGTCAAATGTCTACAAAGTTGTTTGTTGTTTTTTTTTTAAACTTCCACTATCTTTCTACTCTTGTTTCAATAGTGATTTACTCTTCTGTTTTTAAGCAGTGCAGTCACAGCTTTTATAAGAATGTTGATTAGCGATGTTAGGCTAACACATTGCTTACAAGGGGAGATTCCAAGGAAATTGACTATCAGGAACTGTATGTATGTTTATATAGAATGACTTTGGCATCTTCTATTTGCATGTTTTTCCTGTGTGTCTATTGACAGAATGGTTGAAATTTATGGTTCGGGCCCTTAAGAACATATTGCATGTGTGACAAGCAAACAAGCAGCTTAAAACAATTTTTTTCCGATCTCCTTGCCATGCACCTTATTATTGGCGGAAGCATGCTTGGGGGACTTTGTTTTTCATATTACCTATATGTTGAATTGTTGACTTCTTTCCTTTAAAAAAAAAAAGTATTTTCCTTCTTCAGTTGAAATAAAAGTAATTGCTTTGTTGGAGAAAGACAGGAACATTCAGAAGTGTGTTGCTATTTATTTCATGGTATAGGTTAGCAGAATCATCAGTGGATCTTAATTTGAAATTGATGTGCTGGCGGTTGGTGCCTACTCTTGATTTGGAAAAAATTGTATCTGCCAAGTGTCTGCTGCTAGGAGCTGGTACTCTAGGTTGTAGTGTTGCAAGGACCTTGATGGTAAGTCCTGAGTTAATCTTCAAAATAATCTGCTGTTTCTTGTAAATTATATATGATGATTTTTTTTTTTTGAGCGACTGCCGTGGCCCATAAGAGAAAAGTTGTGTTCCTCTCTGCTAGATTACACATGATAGATATTAGTTGAAATTATAGATTGCGGGGAAGAGCTAAGATCTATAGAGAATGGAAATAACTTGAAGTTCTGCTAATAGTAGAACAGTAGACAGCAAGAGAACCTTAGCAGAATACTAGTTTGTTTTGAATTTACATTTAAAAAAATTGAACAAGAAATTCTGGAACAAATTAATGAGCAAATAGCATCAGATTCACAGTGAAGCACTTGAAATGAGCAACTGTGATGATACTTTCAGGGATGTTTACCACATCCCACTGAATTCAGCAGGGTTTTGAGGGGTTACTGTTAAATGATCTATTTGGTCAGACCAAATTTTCTGTTCTTTTATTTCAGTGCGAGTACAAGATCGTTGCTGTAAATAGTTTCAAAAGCTTTTGTAGCTTGATCTTTTTTAGAAAAATTTGACAAAACTCCTCTTGAGTTTCTGGTAAAACGATATAGCTAAGCCAATTGTACTATCATTATTTAAATTAATTTCTTGTTTAGGGTTGGGGAGTCAGGAAGATTACGTTTGTGGACAATGCAAAGATCTCCTACTCCAACCCAGTACGACAGCCACTGTATGAGTTTGAAGACTGTCTTAGCGGGGGGAAACCTAAGGCACTTGCAGCAGCAGACAGGCTACAGAAAATCTTCCCAGGAGTGGTAAGATCAATATTTAAAATGTATTAATGTGTTCCATGGGAGAGAACCAGCAACTTTAACTATTCCGAGTTCTGATAATTAAGCATTATTATGAGTGGGAAAAATACTAAACAGGTGTTGTGTTGGTTACTGACAAAACTGTAAGCATTTTACCTCAGGTACTCTGTACCTGTTAAACTTTATTGAGGCAATGAATATTTGTAATAATGAAATATAATTAAGGATCATCGGAACCATCTTGTGGCTCATTGATGGTGAAGTAGATTTTTTTCATGTCTGGTATGTCCTAAGGAACTTTCAGTAGTGTCTGGTTTTAATACTGTGTTTTCCCACTCTGCTCTTAACTCATGTGTCTAAACTCACATTTATCTATTATGGGAGCAGAAGGTCTTGAAGGCAGTAATAAATGTAGTGTTGAGATTTGCTATGATGTTTTACATCCAAAATTTGCAATCTTATTTAAGTTGATTTTCTACGTTAGAGGCGGATAACTTAATCTTTAACTTCCAGAGAAGGGAAGTAGTTAATAGCAGCCTGGTGAAGATATCAGTGTTTGCCTTTGACCAAAGTACTCCTCTTTTGGGGAGCCTGGTGGTGTAATAACTTACTACCAAAATGAAGTAGGGAAGGGAACAAAAGACAAGAATGAGTTTTTATGTTGTTTTAGAAGCTTTATGGTGAAAGACGTGCCAATGGCAGCCTTTGTCCTCTTTGGCTCCAGGGATGTGCATCATACGAACGTTATTCAGTGCACATGTTCAAACATACCTAATTTTCAATGCGGAAAAAAAGGAGATTTAAAAAAAAAAAACAACTTACAAATATTTGCAGTTTCAATCTTTTTTTTTTTTGATATGACCTATAATTTCAGAATAGACACACTCTCAGCTTGCTCTGTCATGAACAAAATTCTTTTATAGTCATTTGGCATGTGGTAGAAGTCACTCAGCTGTTTATAGTTTTTGTTTTGGAATTGAGACTGTCTTAGAATTGGTGGCTATAGTTACCAGAGGTCAGCTGACAAACAGTATCCTAACCACTTAGTGTAATAAGAATGGGTTATGTACACTTACTATGCAATTCTGTATTTAAAATGCCACTGATTATGTTACTAGTCATAATATTATTAAGAGTTATGAACAGTGGAATATAGATTGTTGTGTTGATGACTGGTGTTGTGAGCAAGCTTTACAGAAGATTGTTCCTAAACATTTTTAGGTTCATTTAGTTTGACCTAAAGATTGCTCTGTGCTTTTGTTCTGTTTTTATCTGTGTTGATCCTATTATTGTCATTATTTATTAAATCGGTATGGGTACTAAGTAGTAATTCAATGATATTTGAATATTAAACAGTGATCCCTAGTATGAAAAAATGCTGGACATTTTGTTTTCAGAACTTTTGATCAGTCAGAAAAGACACTCTGGAAGTTCCTAGAATTTTATTTAACCTTGCTGCGCTCTAGTGTTACTGTTAGTTGGTCATATTCATTTAGTTATAGAAATATTAAATAGTACAAGAAGTACAGAAAAGAAAGCATCTGTGCAGTGTCACATAGAGCGCTAACATGATGCTAACTAGGATTTGTGTCACATGGTTTCTTGCTTTTTAAACTTGAGAAAATGAGAACAGGAATAGTAAGAAAAAATGAGTAGTTTAATTAGAAGAAATAAAAACTGTTTGTGGGATCCTGAATGATACAATTTTGCATGTAGACATAAAGATCAAAAGTTAGTGTTATGAGTTTTCTTGTTAGAAATAACCAAGAAAGCAAAAGACCAGGTTGTACTATGGATTCTTGAGATTGTGATGAGGCCAAAAAGAAAAAAAAAAAGTTAAATATAACCTGGAGAGGAGCTTCCTGTAATTAATGAAGGGGAACCAATAACAATGCTTTAGTGAGCTTGTATCACTAAGTGTTATGACATTTGGTATACACAGGCAAAAAACAATTTTCCTCTTCAGTAATAGCCTATACAACGTGCAAACCTGTACTGTAGGTAGAGGAAAAAATCCTTATGATATACCTCAAATGTTCTGCATCTACCACCGTTTTCTTAGCACACTGTCCCCATCAGCGTTATGCATTCTCTATTATTTCCTCATGCCGTGGATGAGTCATGACCTTCAGTGGAACTCAAACCTAGTTTCATAGCTTTGTGGCACAAATGAGGAGAAAGCAGTTGCACAGATCCTGTGTACCCTTATGACAGAATGTTTCTAATATATTTTTTGGTCAAACTCATTTCCGCAGTAGAGTTCATGGAGAAGAGGTATCGTGTTTGACCATCGGTAAATATACAGAGAAACAACATGCTAGTGTTAACGAGAATTAACAGGGCTTAACAGTGAAAACTCTGGTTCGAACAGTTAATATCATGCTGACAGCATGTGATAGCGGTGAGTGTTTAAGCAGCAGGCCAAGCATGTGGACTAACAATAAGTCTTTAATTAGACTGGGTAAAGTCTTGGTACTTTGGGATGGTTTGGACAGTGAAGCCGCTGTAGCTGGAGATTTTTATAACCCAGCTGACTTTGCTGAACTTCTCAAAATGGAGCTGCACCTGTTACTGCAGACTGCATTGTTGCTTGTTACCAAAGCCCAAATTTATCAGTATAAATGTCTTTGAATAAAAAGATTAGTTGTCCTGGATATTGAGCCTACTTGTTTCTCTCGTACTGAAGGAGTAGCCAAAGCTGTGTCTTGCTATTTGGAAACCCACACAGTCCTTTCAGGCCCATGGGAATCCAAGCAGTAATGCTGGTTCTGAGTACATTTCTGAAAATTTGGGTTTACGTTTCTGTGCAATTCACTTGCAGTCTAATTTAATTCCTTTGATTTCAATGTGAGTAATATTTGGCACACAAAATGCAGTTTATCTTGGTTGACTTTGAAATGCTTGACTGCTGTATGTGAATTCTTTTTTATTTCTGTAATTTTACATGCTTTCTAGTTCCTTACAGCATAGGAGACTTTGGCAAGGCCTATGCTTCTGTAACATATATGAAGGATCCATTATTCTCTTAGAGCAGATGGCTGACAGATTGTGTTAACGTATTTACAAATGATTGAGTTAATTGTTTGCATTGTATATGCATTGTATATATGCTTATTTGGCGCTTTAGCCATTTTCTGCTCAATATGCCTTGCCCAAATAGGGAGTTGGAAGAGGCATATGTTTCTGCAATAGGAACAAGCTCTTTCGGCATCTGCATAATGCAAGCCTCCAGACATCCAAGCACTGGAGTAACAAGTCTCAGAAGTGATTTTCTTCTATATCAAGTTCACATACGGCTGGTTGAATTACATGAAAATCATTTGAGACTATTGTTCTTGTAAAGAATTTAAAACAAAGAGAAGAATGTGTGATACTTTGCATCTGTCTTACTGTAATTGAATCAATATTCAATATCAGAAATATAAACTACATCTCATTAACTTTGTGTGTCAAGTGGCTGCAAAGGTAATCCAGGACAAAGGTTTTATGTAAGTTTAACAGCATGATCATAATCACCTCTAAGATCTGCCTGCTTGCTTTTGTGGTGATGTTTGTAACCTCTGGGATTAGGAGCAGTTCAATTATCTTCTTGTAGTGATTTGCCAGATCTCCTAAGATCTTCTGAGAGACTGAGCTGATTAGTTCAGGCACTGAGCCACCTGAACATGGTTGATCTGCTCTCATGACCCAAACTAGGGTGTTTGCATTGAGGTGCTCTGTTCTGGATAAATACAGCAGCTGAGACTGCCCTTCCCTCAGAAACTTTAGCACTGTGCTTTAGCACACAGCACTAATATACAGAGAGATGTAAAGAATAAAGTTGCCATTCTGCCAAACAGTAATTGAATTTGTACTCTACAATTTTTCTATTGAACTTTATAATAATTCTGTTCAGTCACAAGGTTATCTTTTTAATATGTTGTTTGCTGTCTGTCTCCATCTAGAGTTCAGAAGGCTATAACATGAGCATCCCCATGCCAGGTCACCCAGTGAATTTTTCTGAAGTAACAATGGCACAGGCTCAGAAGGATGTGGCTAAACTTGAAGAGCTTATTGATGCTCATGATGTTGTTTTCCTACTAATGGACACTAGAGAGAGTCGATGGCTTCCTGCTGTCATTGCAGCCAGCAAGAGGAAGGTATTGTACCATGCCTTGCTAATATCCTTGTTACTGTATTTCAGCTCTTGCATATCAACCAGCTATGTATACCTGAAAGAACTTTATGGGAAATTGAAATATTTTACCAGTCTTTTGTGATTGTGCAGAAATTTTTTCTTGTTTTCTTTACCCTCAAAGGTTCTGTACAAGACAAAAAGAGAATGTTGAAAAGAGGAAAGAGGAACTTGTATCACAGAATGATATAGGTTGAAAGAGACCTCTGGAGGTGATCTGGTCCAACTCCCTGTTCAAAACAGGGACAATTTACAGCATGTTGCTCAGGGTCTTGTCTAGTTGGTACCTTTTGAGCATCTCCAAGGGTACATATTTTGTAGTAATACTAAGAGAAATAATTTCATAGTAAGAGAATCATAGAAAGGAGGACTAAAGATGTTACAGTAATGACTGACTGATAGGGGATGTGAATTGTAGAAACTTGTCTGAAACCACACTTTCAAAATATATCTCAAAAGTGAAAAATTAGAAGGTGAATTCTGAATTTAAAAAGTGTAGTAACACTTTTTTGGTTAAAAGTTAACTTTGGGTTTTTCCTCATTGCATTATTGGAAAATGTACTGTTGTGCTGAGCCAATGCATCCAAACTCTGCCCATGACACTTGCTCAGGTAGTGTTGAATGTTTGAGCTATTTCTGTAGCTTAAAAATAATGTCCTCATGTTACAAGCAAAGAAAAATGAAGGGAGAGGGCTGCAGTACATGAAATTAAGATTGTGAATTCTTATATTAAAAAAAAAAAGTATCTGAAGCTTTATAAATTACAGTCTGTATGCAAGATCAGTGAGACAGTACGCATAAATGCCTATGTAGTCAAAATCTTAAAACATCTTTTGTGGTCAGTATGCAGACCTGGTCATATGAACCAGATTGAGAAATAAAACATAAGCTTAACAAAATTTTTCCAGGAGAGTCACAAAAGCATGTGGGGAGAAGATTTTGAGCCTTTTTTTCCTGTTCTACAAATCTTACTGAGTATGTGTGAGGATTGGATGAATGATAGAGCTTTTACTTTTGTGTGAATGTTGTTTTTGAAGACAATGTGGCATCCAAACTTCTCCTGTGAAAGAGTATTCCAAATCACAACTGATTCTGGAAACAGCATCTCTCTCCAAATTAATGCAGTGTTGAAAATACGGTTCTGCTGAAGAATCCAACTAAATTATCCTGAACACTTAGCTCCCTTGCTATCATAGAATTGTTTAGATTGGAAAGGACCTTTAAGATCATCGAGTCCGACCATAATCATGATGTAGACTTTAGTAAAACAGTCTCAAGTAATCTTGATATTTCTTAATTCATTTAAGAATTGTTCGGTTTCGTGTTTGCTCAGTTAAAATAGCAGAAAATTGGAAAATGCAAGTATTAAGCTTTTAACATGTCAGCTTAATCACGATGCACATCCTGTGTATTTTGTGGCATAAATGTAATGATGTCCGTAGCAATTTATTAAGTTGTGAACTTAGCACAAGAGTAAAAGAAAACACATGTGATACAGCTGAGTCAATGTTGTTATTTGATCTTTTATTTTTTATTTCCTGACTTCTGTGATTTTTCAGCTATGACAACTCTGGTTTCTTACTAGTTCTTAGTTGGTTTTGGTTTCTTTTCTTCATGTTTTTATTTATTTCCCAAAGAAATGGACAGTAGAAAGGAGAGAGAATGCAGATTTGTGGTATTTGCAGACTAGTTTTATCTTATAAATTCCAAGTATGTTCCCCTTTCTCCTGAAGTTTATGTTCAGATGAACTTAATTTCCTCTGCATCTGCTTTGCAAGAAGGTTTTTTCCAAATCAAACAGTTCTTTTTTTTTTTTTTAGCGAAGGCCTTGAATTATTTTATCTTCTTTCATTCTTTCCTTATTTTAAATAGATTTCTGATCCTGAGCAATGACCTTGTATGTCTTTAGCTTAAATGAACTTCCCTTTGCCAGTGAACTACACTGCCTGTGAAAAGATCAGTGTGTCCCTTTAGCATGGGCTTCACTGAAGTATAACTTCAGGTGTAACTGAGTGTATGTATCTTGATATTTATCAGTTCATACTTAATCCTACTGTTTTTCCTGTAGTTTGCACCTGTAGTCTTTCAGCAATCTTTTAACTGTTTAAAAACAGCACAGAAATGACATAAAATGAGTTAAGTTTGTGAAGCTGGGTATTGAAACTGGAAAGTGCTAGCCTACTCTTTTGTATGTATGGTGGTTAGTAGTTGTAAGCAATATATGCAGCCCACCCCCCATCTGGTTCAGTCACGATAGGATTGTTTTAATCCAAAACTTTTCCCCTCACATTTGCTTAGCTAGCAATCCCCCGCTGTGTTTGCCTTACAGTATTCAAATCATACTTTGAGGACAAATTTTATAATTTTTGTGACAGGTCTCTGATACTCAGTGGCATAGGTGTATGACTGTATCACAGTTATTTGATATTCGTAGGATCACTTTGATGTAAGGACATTGAATTCTCTGTCACTGAATAAGCACAGCACTGAAATCTCAAGGCATCCAAACTGAAATGCTCAGTATCTGCTTTTCAGTGTACTTCATATTGCTAAACATTTAATGAGAGCTCTACTTCAAATGTGAATTTTTATGACAGCTGCAAATCTGTTGCAGTTTGGACCCCAAAGTCTCAAAACAGGCACACAGAAAATGAAGAACATGGTGAGTGATTATCTGTGTAAAGTTCTCTATAGCGGGTACATGAGTAGAAGTAAGAGTTGGTTTCCCCATATCATCATTCAGTTGCCTTGATGATCTTTCATATTCCTGCAGTCCTTCCTCCCAAAACAAGTATCTTGTCCAAACACAAAACTGAAATGTTAAATCCCTGTCCCTGCTGAGCACTGGAACTTTTAAAATTTTGCTAGGCTTTTTTTTTTTTTTGCATGCATGCCAAAAGATACACTTTTCCATAGTCTCTTTATCAGAAACAGATGTGTTGTGGGTTTTGTTTATTAAGGGTCTATCAGCTAAATTTGGATAGTTGCTGGGCAGTAAACTGAAGAGAGAAACAGATTATTGCAGTGGGAAGTGTTTAGCAATATTATTAATTTCTGATAATACCAACCATGCCATATTGTTCATATTTTGAAAATGGAATACCATTTCCAGGTTTTACAGGTAGATGTAGTGAGAAGATGCAGTCTTTTAATTATTTGCTGTAGCCCTGCCTGTGCTACCACAGATTCAACAGCATGGTTCTACTTTAGGACTGAGGAAAGAATAAACTACAACAAGGCTGAAAGTGAATATCCAGAAATTATTTTAAATACCAAGAATGATGATGAAACTCGCAAGCTTACTAGTTAAGATGGCTAATTCTTGATGTCTTCCCTCAAAGTCCCTCTTTTAAATAATTCCTGGGTATAAGAATGAAAAATGAGAAGCTGCTGTACTAGAATTTCTATCTAAAATATCTGCATATGAAGCAGTATAATATCTTCCTTCATATTTTACTGGCTACAGTCATTATTGTGTAATTACTTTTGATTTTTGCTATGTCTAAATCATTGCCTGTAAGTTTAGTAAAATCTGCTAGCTTAAGTATTAGTTTTATGATATTATCATCATAGTGTGTATAGCTTCAGATTATTCTAAGCACTTGTCACAAACTGAAGGGAAAGGGGAAAATGATGACAGTGTAATTGTGTACCACAGCTGCTTGTGCTCCCCATGTGACTAAACAGATGCATAAGACCATAAGTAATCATTAATTGCTTTCTTCACTAAGCAGAAATTTTTTTGGGTAACATATTTGCGTTTCATTGCTTTGTCACACAGGAGTGTTTAATGAGTTATATTTCAGACCACAGTGAACTGAAAAGACTACATCAAGAATTTCAAATGACATGAAAGCTTGTTATTGATAGCTGCTGTTGTACTTAAATGACACTTGGAATATTTTAGCATTTAGAGAATATGAATATACAGAATATGCAGCAAACTCGAAAATAAATTCTGAGCTGGAACCAAAATAAGTTTTTCCAATACCAATCGTTGTATGAATGTTGGTCCAAATTTGGATATATGGATGTTAATTCATGTCAGTGCATTGCACCTTCAGTAACTTTAGTGAGACATCGAATGTTAGTTGGTGTGAACCTGGCTTCAGATGTGAACTGGCACAATGCATTTATGGAGTTCCTGTTCCTTTTTTTTTGTCAGCAAGTGTGCATAGGTTTGTGTTGCAATTTGAGGGAGTTGTTAATTTGTATCAAAATTCCCTGAAAGACACAGAAAAAGGTAATGGTTTGTGGATTTCTGAAACAGACTTTTGGTTTGGTTTTGTTTTTTCTAAATGCTTGACAACTGGAATTTTGTACTTATCAGAAAATCTGTGATTTATGGCTAGGGTGATAGATATGCAGTTAATAGGTTGTTCGTCCACCTACAGCATGTGGGGTTTTTTTGGCATTTAAAGTGAATAAAAACTTTAGACCTTTTTTCTCCCTCCTCTTTTGGGTCACTTAAAATCTGTTGTTCTCTATTTATTGTTCACAGTTGGTCATCAATGCTGCATTGGGATTTGACACATTTGTTGTTATGAGACATGGACTAAAGAAACCAAAACAGCAAGAATCTAGTGATTCATGTTTGAACAACGCCTCTGGTTCTTCTGATCTTTTGGGATCGTCACTCTTTTCAAATATCCCTGGCTATAAACTGGGTTGCTACTTCTGCAATGATGTTGTGGCACCAGGGGATGTGAGTAGAACCTTATGGAAATGGTGATTATATATCTCTTTTGTTGTGACTTGAATTTTTGTTTCCTTTAAATGGTGTTTAATAAAGGGATTTATTTTATGTTGATGTACACAGGATTAAGAAATAGCTCATCTTTTATTTGGAAGATCAAAGAAATTAATTGCACGGAACTAAAGATGTTTTGTGTAGTAGGGCAGCTAGTTACTTTTGAGTTACTTTATTCTTTCCCTTAGAATTTTCTATCTTTGTAGTCCACCAGGGATCGGACATTGGATCAGCAGTGCACAGTCAGTCGACCTGGATTAGCCATGGTAGCTGGAGCGCTTGCGGTAGAATTAATGGTTTCTGTTCTACAGCATCCAGAAGGGTGAGTCATTTGTGGATTAGTGTTCAAAACGTGTTGTCTGAGAAATAAGATTTATTTAATATAATCTTTTGGGGGAAGAAGGAGGAAGTACACATTAAGTAGGGCGATTCCATAAGGTGTAATGTTGCCTGTAAATTAATGTAATGTATAGGTCATATCTACGATATTGGTGTAATTCAGCAGTGTTTAAGAGAGAACTGATTCATCAGATCTGAAGTTTTTATCTTGGAAATTGGCAGTTTTCTCTCTTTGAGTTTAAAGTAGAAAAGTACTGAGAATACAGCAAAAGCAGGAAGTATTCCTGTTAGTGGATCTTGGCATTTCTTTGCTCAAGAAAGTGTAATGAGGATCTGTGATAACTACCCTATGTCACATGAAGGGCTTCCAGATAAGCCAAGTATTACAAAATCTTATTTAAAATTAAGTGGGTTTGATACAGAAAGTACTCTGAAATTCTGCAACTTGAAATTTAGGCTTGTTTTCTGTCTTTAAAGTCTGTGAAAGAAAAAGTGAGTTAGGAGTTGGACGTGAGTATGTTACAAGTCTCTGAGATTGATTCTGAAAAAGTTTTTTTTTATATTCCCATGCTGATTCTTAGTTACTATGAAACACACTTTCCAGATAGATTCCTTTCCAGATTCTAAACTGTAAACTGTAACAAAATGGCTTGAAGCTTACTGGAAATTTTGACTTTTGAGTATGTTGTCTTGTTCTAATTTTCTTTCTTGGATTTTTGGCAGTGGCTATGCTGTGGCCAGCAGTAGTGATGATAGAATGAATGAGCCGCCTACTTCTCTTGGACTTGTTCCTCATCAGGTAAATAATTTGTGAGTAAATGCTTTTGTTTAAAAGCTGGAAACTGATATAAGGCAAACATTACAGACTTTATCTCCTTAACAAAAACATACTGTATGCTGATTCCATTCCCCGAAGAAATGACTGTCCATGTTTGTTAAAAAAAATACATATTAAAAAAAAAATCCATCGCAGGTAGTTGTGTTCCTGGCATTTTGTCTGTCCTACTTGTGGACACACAATTCCTGCT